GAAGGGAAGGGAAGGGAAGGGAAGGGAAGGGAAGGGAAGGGAAGGGAAGGGAAGGGAAGGGAAGGGGTCCCTGCGGCGCCGGGCTGGAGCCGGCCGCCTCCACTACCCTGCGATCTTCTGCTCCTGGGCTCGCCGGCTGCCCTGGCTCCATCCCCGCGGGAAGATGGCACTGAAAAAAGCGGTTTCTTCAGGAGGAGGAACTGAATTGTTTTCTCCTCTTTCTCCAAGAAATACGGTCACAAACGACTCCAGCCCGCCTAATGCAGCGAGCACCGGGGTTCTCCGGGGACACGGGCCCTTTTACACCCTCTTCTCTCGGGAGGGGAGCCGGAGAGAACGAGGACTGAGCCCTCCCTCAGGGGAAGCCCCGGGGACACGCGGGGAGTGGCTCCTGTCCCCCGCTCCCGCCGCTTCCCACGCACGGCCCCGCAGTGACGCGGGTCAGCCCGGCGCGTGTGTGCGTGAGGCTCGCTTCTGGTTTTGCCTTCCTTTTTTTTTTTTTTTTTTTTTTTTTTTTTTTTTTTTTTTTTTTTTTTTTTTTTTTCCAAGACGATAAAATGTGTCAAACGCCAAATTTAAATTTCTTTCCAGGTCGAGGTAGACGGTGGGGCGAGAGCAAGTGAAGGGTGGTAGCCGTGGGCAGCAGGGCCGGGCAGCGGGCGGGGACAGCGGGGCCGGGGGAGGGCAGCGGGCAGGGCAGGGGAGGGGAGGGCAGGACAGAGGGCAGGGGAAGGCAGAGGGCAGGGGAAGGCAGGGCAGAGGGCAGGGGAAGGCAGGGCAGCGGGCAGGGGAAGGCAGAGGGCAGGGGAAGGCAGGGCAGCGGGCAGGGGAGGGCAGCGGGCAGGGGAGGGCAGCGGGCAGGGACAGCAGGGCCGGGCAGCGGGCGAGGCGCTGCCCTCGGGCTCCAGGCGTACCTGGCCGTGGAGCCGCCGGCTCGGTCTTCTCTTCCAGCCTGGGCTCAACCAGGCCACTTATTCCCGATGCTGGGGCCAGGCTTTGGCCGGCAGCCTTGCCTGAGTTTGCCAGGGGTCCCAAAATACGCGCCAGAACAGACTGGGGATGAGCTAGTGCTGGGTTTAGCTGCGAGGCTGGTCTCGGTGTGTGTGAGGGGTGAGCCCAGGGCATGGATTCCCCTCCCTAGCCCCGCATAGCCCAGACCTGCCCCCTCTCCTACTCCACGGAACCCAGCTCCCTGTCAGGGACCGTCCCAGCTTTCTATACAGAAACCCGGGACTACTTTACGCTTCCCAAATGTGTCTGGTCGCGTTTCTGCCTGAGCCGGGGAGAATCCCCCGGGCTGTCACGGCACAAACTTCTTCCCCTGCACACCCCACCATCCCCAGCTGCTGCTCCCGGCCCGTCCCGGGCTGCCTCGGCTCCATCCCTGCGGGAAGCAGGCACAAATCCTGCCCCACATACCCAGCTCCGGCCCCTGCCCGTGGGTGCCAGCTTCCACGCTGCTTGTTTATTTGTTTGCTTTTAAGACGACGCGAATTTGTTTATAAAATTGACTCATGGCCCTTTGAAACAAATTGTTATTAACCTTCCCCTTCTGAGCGTTTCATAATCACAGATGTTAGTTTGGAGATGATATCCAAACATCCCAGGGGTACTTTTGATAGCTGCATGGGCGGGGATTGAATGTGGCGGTCGGATATTAAATCAGCGGGATACAGAATTACTTTTTTTTTTTTTTCCACGAACCCGAGCTAGCTAAATAGTTTCTCCCTCTAACTCTGATATGCATTTCACAATCAATGGCGCGGATATTTGCATATATCGTGCCTGGATGTGGGTTTGTACATCCTGCGTTAGCAGGGAGCGGAGCGGAGGAACACCTTCACTAAACCTCAGTGCTCAGACACTCATTGAACAGAGTTACGGGGAAAATAAGCTTAATTAATTACACGGAGGGGCTGGTTGGCGCGGGCAAGTGTAGATGTATTTTTGTTCGGCCCTGAAATACTTTCCTGGGTTGGTTGTTTCGTTTGATTAGTTAGTTTGGTTTTTTT